AAAGATGGAAAGCTAATGCTACTACAACTGCTCCTTTCGTACGAGATACGTGTGAGCTGTCAAACGTACACACGCTACAACCGGTACACGTGTTCAGTAGCGAACGGAGGAAGGAGGAGAAAAGAGAGAACGTCTGTTTAATTTAATTCGCACTTGCAAAACTCTTTGTATGCGGATGGGAATTAAAGTTCGTACGAGCTCTTCGAATCCGATTAAAGTGGCGATTAAAGCAAAGCTCACGCGACGGATTTAGATTAAACGGCCGAAAACTCATCGCTCTTCGTTTTCTATCTGCTGTAATACTCCGACGAACCGCCGTGCGTTCGAGAACACTATGCGATTACGCGAAAGCGACGAAGAAGAAGTTAGCGAACTATTCCTTCGCTCTTGCGAATCGATCGTAGGCGGTTATCTTTCTCGTTTGAGCACAGATTTGCACTAACACTTCCCTCGTGACTCGAGCTTCAGGGATTTCGCAACAAAGTTCCCATTCTTGTGTGCACGCCCACAACGATCGCACGAACTTGGGTCGTGTCTTCGGTATGCCTATTAGAAGTTAGCCTTCCACTTTTAGAAATAACTTATTTTGAGAATTGTGCTGAATTGTGCTAGATTTGTGCTACATTGTGTTCGAATTTTAAAATCGTAATGTAAAAAATATCATAAAAAAAAAACATTTCAGGCTAACCCCCACTTTGCGATTTTTTTAATTTTTTCGATTGTGCTAAATTGTGCTAACATTGTGCCAAAATATTATCTTTAAAAAATAATAGAAACAATAGAAGTTATGATAAAAATAGATTTAGGAAAAAAGATATATAAATGACATTTATTCTTGTATCAGTCATCTAAAGAGCATACAAATGCGTATCTAACATATACTCGCTTAGCACAAGTCGGCACAACGATATGAAGGACACTTTATTCTTGAACGCGGCCCTTCGCGCAAGCATTTTATGTTAAAAATTCGCGTTTGCAGTTACTCGATGTTGATAATACTGCATATCTGAGTTGTGCTTTCTTTTTTCATTTTTTATGACATTTTTCACATTACGGTTTTAAAATTGGAGCACAATGTAGCACAAACCTAACACAATTCAGCACAAAATAAGTTCTAAAAGTGGGGGGCTAACTTTTAATAGGTCTACGCGTCATCCTCCGCACTGCCATCGCTCCTTTATCCACCGTTTCTCGCCCCCGATGCCACGTCTCGCGGGTTAGTTCGTGCAGCCTCGCGTGCTTTTTATCGCCGAGAGATGAGAGAACTTTCGGAGCATCGACTGGCGAGGAAGAAAAAGAAAATAAAAACTTGAAAGCACAGCTAAGAACGGCACGAATAATGCATAGTAGAAATTAATCGAATCCCCCGGCGCTTTTTTGTCACGGCGTCGCGTCGTCCGGCGTCGTGTCGCGCTCGCGAACGATCGGCAAGAGTCGTTCCTCCGTGCGCGTCGAGCAAATCAAAAGGAAAACTTCGAGGATAATTTCCAAGAGTCCAGTAAGGGTTATGCTCGTGCTCTTTCACTCGGTGCAACTCGAGCAAGATACGCGGGCCTTTTCAAAGGGAATAATTCGACCGCGGTGTACCCGTGCGCCGCGTACGAAAGCTTCCGGCTGATTCCGATGGTCTAACTTCGCTGGCTTTCCAAAGGCAATGTCTCGGCATTCATGCTGACCCCCGACCACAGGAATACGCGGCTTCGAATACCGCGTGCCGGATGAGTCTTAGCTGCGGTCGCTCATTACGCAGCTTTAACGGAAACGATAGTGGGTGGGTGGGAGAGAGAGAGAGAGAGAGAGAGAGAGAGAGAGAGAGAGAAGAGAGAAGAAAAAAAAAAGAGAGAGAGAGAGAGAGAGAGAGAAACAGCCTGGCCGTAAGACGAAATCGGACGACCAGTAGCGATGCAGTTGACTCGTAGAGCTTTTAATCTCAAAAATCTTTAGGACCTTCGGGCGACCAAAGGAAAACTTTCGTAGTCCGTTCAGCACTCACGATCGGCCAAACGACCGCGCTTCCCTTCGCTTTTCCCTCTTCTCTTTACCCAGCTACTTCCGCAAACATCACTCGCAAGTCTCTATATAGTGCAAAGAGAGCATTGCCACTCGAACTCCTCGAATTTACCAACAAATTAGGGACTGTACGAAGTAATCTACCAAAAAAAATCGGTTGCGAATAGAAGGGAAAAAGGCAAGCTGGAAGAACGATTGATGTATCGTATTGCGTTAAAAACATGTATTTAACTTAATCCGTTAGCTTCAGACGATTTATTTAAATAACGGTCGATAATCATGATGAAAAATAGACTTGTTTGTACTAGATACTAAAGACTATTGGCATTTTGAGAGGCTTATAGCTTAACACAATGAGACATAGTCGTATAGAGTTTCGCGCAACTTTGTTGCATACACGCATGTACGATGGGTTACACGTCAAATATGTGCGCAAATTGGATCAGCAGATCGGTTTGAGAAGCCCGTCGAAATTAATATCCGTTCCGTTAGTTACCAGAGATCCGATGCGAAGGGCTTAGAATCCATGATCGCTACGTGGCATAGATGTCTGCAAGTACAGATTAGATCAATGCGATGTGTTATATTTGAATATAGTACACAGTAGATGCATGTATCGAACTTTATTGCAAGTATATTCACGACGCTATCAATCAACACGCTGCTTGACGGCGAATCTTGCGAATGAGTTTCAATGTGCGTGCCTTAAGCCCTGGACAGTCATCATTTTATTTTTAACAACAAGGATTGTTTGAGAAATCCGAGTATCTTATCGCGAATATATAGAATGAGAAACGATCAAATAACGATTACGCCTCAATGCGACGTAGGTTCGCAGTACAATGTCTGCTTGTCTACTCCACATGTATATCGCGCGCCAGAATTTACGTCATACTCCAAACATCGCGAAGTAAGATTAGACGCATTCGTTCTACGGGAGCTCGCAACCACTGTCGGTTTTCCTTCAACGTTCGCGGAACGCACGGCGACAAAATTAGCCGACGGCAACTCCGAAACAAGTATCGTGGAGCTCTAGCAGTTGTGGGTACGCCGCGCGCTTCGCGAAGCCCTCGAAACTTCGTGCCAAACATTCGCGTGAACGTGAAACCGGCGTTCTCCGGCGTACGTACGCGTACGTCCTGACGGAAAAACGGACGGCGCAACTACAAGAACGATAACCGGCGCTATTGTAATTCCGCCATTGGCGCGACAGGAGAACAGACCGACGAAGTCCGGTCGCAAATCCTCCAAAAAGTTCCCCAGAAAATGCTACGCTCGTGGAAAACCTTTCGGAACGCGTAGGTCCTCGCGTGAGCGTACATGCACGTGTGCGTCCGCGTGTGTACGTGTGTACTGTATGCGTGCGTATGTGTGTCGCGCTCGTAAGCAGCGTGTCTCCCCAGCATGCGGTCTCTTGCTTGTACGTAATACACGCGAGAGGCGGCACGCACCGGCGATGCTCACCACACTCGACTTTCATGGCCCAAGCCAGCCAAGCCAAGCTAGCTAGCGAACCAACCAGCCAGCCAACCAAGCGGGCAACCGTCCGACCAGCCAACCGACCAACCGACCATTCCACATTCCATTCGACGGTTCTCTCTCCCCCGACACCATAATGAAGTCAGCCCGGCGTTCTAAGCCCCGGTAATATCGCGTGGCAGGGCACTCCCCGAGATAATATTGGTGATGTATGCTAACGGGCACACACATTTCGTAGCCCGGGGTACGTACGTTTTCCTTTTTTTCTTCCTTTACCCACTCGTACCGTTCCACTCGTACCGTCCGTTCTCTTAAACGATTTACCGCAAAGCGAGAAAAGGAAGCGGGATAAAGAGGGGGTCAGCATCCCCTAAGAAAAACGTCGGGGAATTTAATTCCTGATGTATATCGCGGCGGAGAGTGTTTTTCGCACGTATGACAAGCGAACCATCAGTCGGTTTCGTCAATTCCTAATAGAGAGTCTTAAATGGATTCTTAAATGGATTCTTAAATAATGAGGAATAATTAAAATTTACACTTTGCGAATCGTTTAAAAAAAAAAAATTACTGCCATTAGTGAAACTCGTAATTTCGGAAAAAAGGATGAATAAAGTTCTCTGATTAATTTCGCGCGGAGTCCTTCCACCTGCATCAAATACGCTGATTGTATTTCACGTAGGTGTGAGCGATTGAGTTTGCTCGTTCGCACAATTTGTACTGCAAATTGCTGGTCGGCTCGATAAAACGATCCCGGAAGTCACGATATTTAATTTGGAGGATTGCAAATTAATCACGATCGATATATCCCGATGTAAAAGTTGCACAGCAATCTCCATCGGTTGTCGCGAATGAAACGAGTCGTTACAATTGTTATAAATAAAAAAATAGCCGGCATAAAGTGCGAATGAAACGCACTCCATTGTTAAATAAAATATATCAAATGATGTTTACGTTATTAATTGTCGCTTTACATTCAAAGTATCGTAGTAAAACATTGTGAAACTACTTTTGCGTATCTTCTCTGACAGTTGCGATACAGTGACCGCAAAGATTGCGTAATTTATCTCATGCCAGATTACAACTATCGTATTGTATTCATTTCCTGCATATATGATTAGTCCGCCAAACATGTGAGGCTCGAAACGTGGAACACGTTTCTATCTTGCTGCGAACAGCAACACTCGACGGTCGATGAGAAAACGAAAAATCACGATATACCACGTGGCTATCGCCCCGCTCTTCCGTTTCCGTTTCCGCCCGAGCCTGGCCTACCGTAACCAAAACAAGCCGGACTCGGTGCGCGAGTATGGTTCACGCGAATATCGCCGCGCACTCGTACTCGTACTCATTGACCGTAGAGATTTATCTACCAATAATCACACGATAATCCTACAGTCATTGAGAAAAAAAATGTAAGAACGATCACCGATCGTCGTCCGATATAGACGCACTTTTTACGACATGTCACTGATGTCATTGTGAGTAACCAGGAGCACTTAAGAATATCTGACCTTTGTGATGCCTGAGATGAGAGCGTCCGCAGCATGGTTGCTCGAAATAAGCGTGTCCGGGATGGGCGCCGGCGGGCCTGCTGGCCGCGCTGGGACCTATAAGTTGTCCCAGGACAGCTGCTAGAACAGCTGTCCTAAACACCGTCGTCATGGCGTCCGGTAGTAGCCTGTACCTCTGCATAGTTACAGGAAAATAAAGAACACCTTTTCACTATCCTCTTTCGTTGCTCCTCCTTTCTCCTTCCTTCACTCTCTCTCTCTCTC